GATTGAAATCTGTTTGTTTACATTGTGTTGGCGCGGCTACTTGATGATGCCACTTGTTTCTCACGAGACCCTGTCCCTTTACTTTAATATGGTAACTTAAATTAAGCAATAGACATGTTGTACCAGTCTACACCCACTACATCACTCAGTGACACATACTTTTGTCTGGTGTTTGCCGAGTTCAAGGGTATTTTCGCTATCTGAAAGAATTGGCTGCATTATTTGCCATTTTTTATATCACAACAACATCATAAACCCGTGGTAATTCTTATGCTGGAGTAATCAGTAACATGTTCACTATTAGGTGAGACTATATTTTGAGCACTACATTTTTCTTGACTGTGTAGTTATTTATGAAATTACTCTTTTAACGCGTGAAAACCAACGGCCACCAACCAAGCAGCTATGCTGCTATCAGAACAGCAATGTAAGGCTGGCAGCCACATGGCCTGCTATGCTCCTTCCTACATAACATCACAGTTGATCCCAGCAGTAGGGTAGCCCTGAAATAGCCCAGCTGACTCATCCAAAACATGGATCTGTAGCCAGCTGTATTACCCCTGCTCTGTGGGAGAGGAAGATGGGAGAGGGAAAGAGAGGTGAGGGAAGTGAACATATACACAAACACACATTGCAGATTCAGACCAGCCAGGGCATCGTATGTATGCACAATGCACACAACTGCATTTTCTCTCCATGTCTCCGAGCCTAGATGACACATGTACACTAGTACACACTTTGAGGTCACTTTTACATAGTTTCAATGTGATCTAGTTTCAAAGCACTATTGCATTGAAAATGGTTGCACACAGAAGAAAATACAGTTCAATAGATGCTGTTATGTAAACTTGACATAGAGATAAATACACACATTATTTTAAACTCAAATCCTGTTTGTAATGTAATCTCCCGTTTATATGTTTATCTGTTTAAGTGCTAAGACACCTCCTACACCTACGCAGTATATCCTACCACTGCACTGCCACGTCTACTAACACCTACCCATATATACAGTGTTCGAAATAAGGCACGCTATCCTTTGCTACTCCACGTTTGTCCATTTCCATGCCCAACAATAACCTGCCATAGCTTTTCCCTGAGCACAATTTTTTCCATCGTACTGCCGCCGCTATCTTTTGCAGTCCGTTTCGTATTTTTATTCTTTTTAGATTCACACCCGACAAATTTGTCACTTCCGTTTTGTATTTGCACACTCTCGCCACAGCTAATAAAACGTCGTATTTTTGAATTTAACAGGTCTTGTTGGTGTTAGAATTAACACCCATCCGAGTTTTATTTTATTAATATCACTTTATTCGTACATAAAACACTTTGCAATGGTGCCCAAGATTGCGTCCCTGCTCTACTATGGCTTTGCTAAGCACTATTGCAAGAAATCTTCCATGCCAGCAAAAATTTTGCAGGACAGCAAAAAAATATCTTAAATAGCGTCCTTCGTATCAAGCAAATCTCCTATGTCGAACACGAATATACATGATGGAAACACAAGGACACATATAAACATAGTCAGTTGGAACCATCAACGCCTTCCATCCCATTCTCATAACCTTGCCAAACCACTACAATGCCCATGCAATAGTGAACACAAATCATAACAATTCCTGCTCGTCACATACCAACACAGTAATTCTGGCCCGGTTCAATAGATACACTCCAGCAATAAATTCAGAAAATGGGCAGAATCTAAAAACACCGTATCTGCTGAGAAAACAAACATGCAGCTAGCACGAGACCTGCATCAAGCCACGTCGTACACTGTGTGCAGACCCAAATTCATGTAACCCCTATCTCTTGTAAGCCTAACCCTATCGCCTCTGGCAATACACTCAGTAGTACAGCTCACACGCACGACATTCAATAAACAG